CAAGAGTGAAAAGTCTCCTAACAAGCTCCGTCTTCCCCAGCGCTCTATTTCCGTGAATAAAGACTGAGGGAGGCGTCCTCTCGCCAGACTAAATGGGTGATTGCATTAGGCTCACGCGAATGGGCGTCGATTGTCGGCATAAATGAAACATTACCGTGCCAAGCCAACTCAACAGTGTTTCAATTTGACGCGTTCGTCCTGGGAATTCTTCAAACAACGCGTCCTTTAAATTTCGCCCTACCTTCGTCATCATGTAGAATGTGAACCGAGTGCTAACCTCATTAAACACTAATGGTCGTAAAATCATCCAATCATCTGGTCGGGATCGCCAAGGAGTTTTAGCCATTATTTTAACATACGCTATATAAATATAGATGCATTAGTGCGCCATGGAAACAGATCTACCACATAAAACAAACACTTAATTCTGGTAAATTGTTTGGGTTACTTTCTACGCCCTGCCCTCAAGGGGTTCAAATATTACGTAATGATCTACCGATTCTGATCCCAAAACGGAGTGAGAATAATCACCGTTTGGTTTTGTTTCCGGGTCCCTGGTGCATAGATTTCGGAGACGCGATTATCGATCTATCGTCTTTCTTTCTTCTTTTCTTCCTTTCTTTCAACTGCTTTATGAATCTATAAGTTCCAAGTAGATGAAATGTTGATAAGTACGAGGGGTCTTTGTGGCTCAGAAGAATGGGTAGGTTGTCCTCCCGAACATATTCCTTTATCACGCGTTTTCCACGGTCGGCTAAAATCTGCTCATTTGACTAGGGTCCAGGGAAGGAAGGTTTCGATCTTACCCCTTGCGCTCGAGAAGTGTACGTGCACTTTTTTTTTTTTTTTTCGAAATTATTGAGTTCCGATCGTTATATGTATGTTTCTTCATGGAAAATAATTGACCTTGTTGGGACGTTCAGCATTCTGAATGCTGCCTTTTCTTTGTTTGTTGTTTTTATTTCCATAATCTACCTGATTATTTTCACCTGTCGGAAACGGCCAAATCGAAGTTTATACATTCCCCTGGAAACCGTCGAACAGGACTCGGGCGAACGTGGATACATACCTGTGTCCAAGTATGACATCGGTCAGCTTGTCATATCATTCTTTCAATTAGGTTTTGTGGGATTTCTTTTCGGTTGGAGGATGGATGACTACGACGAAACTTCCAATGGTAAAGAGCCTCGACCCTATATGGTGATCGGCGCCATAGGACTATTCGTCTCTTGGGTAAATATGGAGTTGACCTTTACCTTCTCATTCACAATTCCTCGCCACCAACCTGATCGTCATTCTACATGTGTAGCTATATATTGTCACCTTGATAGCATGCCATTTCCTAACTCGGAAAAATCAAACTCAATATGCATTTATCAGGCTACTGTTGGTGCTCTATGGACTTTTTACCTTGATTGCGTGCATCAATCTTCGTTCTTTAATTAAAAGCATGGAAAAAGAAATGAAATCAAGTTATGAATTGGTGTTTTCTGTATGGAACGTCATTGCTTGCGGTACGTTATTCGGTTTCTCCCTCAAGAGACCAAGGAATCCTGATTTGAAATACGCAAGAGACAGAGTGATTTCTCATGATACCATTGCATCACTCTGGTCGCTCATGACTTTTTCGTGGATGACACCGATGATAAAATTGGGAAATCTACGCAGCCTCGCCGAAGATGATCTATGGGAATTGCCATCCCGATGTCAGGCTGCACACTGTTATTATGAGTTGGATCGGTGAGTCCATATAGTCACACGCATATCATCAAGTTGCATTTTAATTATTACCATTGGCCTTAAAAAATGAGTTCCTTGTATTGCATTAGAACAACAAATTTGGACCTGTTGTCACGATTGCTTTATGCCAATGCCACCAACCTCATTCTTTTCCTTGTTATCGCAATATTACGCTCGATATTTGCGTTCACCACACCATATTTTCTCTACCAATTACTTAATTACATCTCTGAAAAGCACCCAGAAGAATACTCGGAAAAACCCTATCTCTATTTGTTAGGAATTCTCGTCTCCGAACTCTGTCGGATCATCTTCTTGAACCAACTGAATTACCAAGTGGTCTGGCTCGGAATAAGGGTAGAACAGATGTTGAGTGTGCTGGTGTACGAGAAACAACTACGCCTGATGGCTTCCCCACCTGAAGCAAGTATCAATAATAAAGCAAATAATGTGTTGACAACCGATGTTGATGACATTGCCGGTTTCTTCTCGAACTTTCCTTTTCTCTTGACGACTCCTCTCGAGATAATTGTGGCGATTGTCTATCTGTACTTCTTGTTGGGATGGTATAGTCTTGTCGGTGTGGCCATAATAGTAATATGCACCTGGAGTAACAAAAGATTTGGAAAGCGCGTTACAAGATTGCAAAAACGGGTGAAGAAGGCACGAGACGAAAGGGTCGGGGAAATATTTGAAGTGAGTTTATTTGGTCATCATCACGTACATCGTCATTATCATCACTAATCCATGCACTTCTGATATGATCTAGCTTCTCCATGCAGTTCGTATGATAAAAATGTATGCTTGGGAAAGCAGTTTTCACGAGAGGCTAATGTGTAATTATCTTCGACTGTCAATTTGATCAACGCATTTTCCCTCGAAGTTATTGATCAAGATTTATTTAAAAAAAAAAAAGACTCCCGACGCGCGGAACTCTTACAACTACGAAATCTTTTTCGACGCACCACCACGCTTACGCTCCTTTTGCACACCACGCCATTCCTTGTAACACTATTTGCTTTTGCATCCTACACGATCGCCGGCAATCCGTTAACGGCTGCCATCGCTTTCACGAGCATCACCTTGTTCAACACGCTGAAACAGCCATTGCAAACTTTCCCAAATTTGGTGGCCGAACTGATAGGTCTAAGCATAGCTGTGAGTCGCGTGGAAAAATTCTTAAACGAGACCGAAATACAAAAGGAAGGTTCGACTTTCAGTTCCGATTCCACGAGAACCACAGTTGGATTTACCGGTGCCGATATATGTTGGAATTATAATATGAACAACCGCGAGCTAGACGACTTTATGCTAAAAGGTATAACATTGGAATTTCCCGTAGGAAAAATCAGCTTGATATGTGCGTACATATGTTCAAAATTTATTTTCATGTTTCTGGAATTTACCGCAGAACGAATACTTCAACAACGGTTATCATTGTCTTTTAACAGGTGGTCACCAGTATTGTGGGAAGACCATGCTCTTCCTCTCACTACTTCGCGAAACTGTGCTAATCCGTGGGACCATACACTTTCCGACCTCTTCCGTCGCTTACGTTCCACAACAGGGGTGGTTGGAAAACACGACCATTCGAGAGAATATTTTGTTTGGGACAGATTTTGAAGAAGAGCGTTATTGGGATATAGTTGATTCATGCGGTCTGACAAAAGATTTTGAGAACATGGAGGAAGCCGATTTTACCGAGGTTTGATAATTCAACTCACGTGTCAAATTTCATTGGTTTCCTAAGATCGAGAAATGCGCTCACACATCATTTTGCATTACTAAGTATGACGAAAAAAGCCTACTTCTAACGAACGAACAAAAATCTAGAATCGCATTGGCGCGAGCGTTGTATAGTCCGGCCCAAATATTGCTCATAGATGACTGTCTATCTTGTCCGGATTCAGATACAGGTTTTTGGATCGAATATGCTTCTTTTTTTTTTCTAGAGATATCACTCCGCTAGGGGAATGCTTTGAGTCACCATTTCTAACGCGAAAATCTTCACCTTCATTTAAGCTCAACAAATTATTGACCATTGCCTCCGTGGTCCTCTTGTTAGTGGACGTACCGTGATAATAGCGACGCGTTATGCTAGATACCTTTTGGATATGGTTGACTACGTGGCGATACTCAGGGAGGGATCCGTTCAAGCGAAAGGTACACCAGAAGAGGTGCACGATTCCGGATTTTTGACCGACGATGTACTTGGAAAGGACGTCAAGTCGGCTCCGGATCAAGTGGACAAGAATGACCAGTATCTGGAAATTGAAAAATCCACCGCGGATAGGAGAAATTGGACAGCAGAAGAAGGTAACCAGAAAAATTTTCATCGTTTCCAGGGAGGATCAATTGCCAACTTATTATTATTAGGTTCCTAACGATTTTCGATTTTTCCATTACCTCTCTCCCATCCGCTGGTTAGTTCGTTCTCAAGGAAAAATTTCATTTCAAGTTTACCTGTTCTACCTAAAATCTAGCGGAGGCCTATTTCTTTGGTTTATCCTTTTCATTCTATTTATCTCAATCAGAACCATAACTGTGGGCGAAACATACTGGTTAAAAAAATGGACGGACTTGTATCCGACTAAAAAAGGATTGAATTATGACCTCACCTTTCATGAGCAATCGTTTGATGATGAGGAGAATAGTAATCTAAAAAGTATAGGAGTGTATGCCCTCATTGCAATAGCATCGTCTGTTTTTACCATCATTCGGATGCACTTTCAAATTTCCTTGTCCCTCAAGGGATCGAGATCTCTGTTTTCTGAACTTTTGAACTCAATTCTGAGAGCGCCCTTAAGTTTCTTCGACACCGCTCCTCTGGGAAGAGTGATGAATCGGTTTTCCAAGGATCTGGGCATAATCGATCAAGGTCTTGTAACAGTCATATCTGGCTTCCTTGGGGACGCTGTGGGGGCGATGAGCGTGCTAGTCGTGGTGACAGCTGTCATATATGAATTTGGAATTGTCTCAATTATTGTCGGTCAGTAGAAATTACATTCCATAATCCTGTTCTACCTCTTTTCCTGTACTTATGCAATTCTTGTTCAATAGTTATTTGGTACATGAATATTGGAAATAAATACATAAATGTTTCGAGGGAACTAAAACGTCTCCAATCGACAACTCGTTCGCCCGTTGTTTCTTGGTTCAGTGGGACAATAGTGTATGTGTCTAACTTTGACATGATCTCTTGTGCGCAGCACATTTTTCATCGCGGCGCTTATTTATTTTTTCTGACAGTGGTATTTCGACCATTCGGGCATTCGGTGCCGAACGCCAATTCGTCAAGAAGTTTATCGACCAGTTAATACCACAACTTGTTTAACCAAATTCCATTCGCCACCTTCTTGCGCTAAACTCTAATCCATTTCTTCATGTACACAGCCTGAATACGTCAAACCGGACGACATACCTTCTCCATATGTCCAACAGGTGGATGTCAATACGTATGGGTGTGATAGGCGTATTCGCGGCCTACATTGCTGGGTATTTGATTCTTTGGCATCATGATCGTATTGATGCTGGATTGGCGGGTTTCTGCCTAAGTTATGCGCTCGGTTTTGTACAGATCGTGTTTGTAAGCATTTTGCGATAATATTATTTGCAATTCTTCTCGTGAACCTCCAATGACTTTATATGCACATTCTAAGATGTTGGTCAAAGATTATACAACAATGGAAACTAGCCTCAGCAGGTAAGACCGTTTGCATTTTTTATTCGTTATTTCCTTCTGGAATCAAATTAATCGCATAATTCTTGTCATCTCATTAATAATAACAATATGTAGCGCGGAACGTATCAAAGAATACATTGATATGCCTCAAGAATTTTCCAATACCATCTCCAACGCGCATCCTCCAGCTGCGGTGAGTGAATTGATGACGAATCGTCTGTTAATGATTTCCTCCTGGTATTCATGAAATACCTTGTGACACTTAAAACTAGTGGCCAACCAGCGGTGAAATTGAAGTGTCAGATTTGGTGGTAAAATATAGTCAAAACGAAGAGCCCGTTCTTCATGACATTTCGTTCACCATATATGACGAGGAAAAAATTGGCATAGTTGGGAGGTGAGCATAGGAAAATAATTCGCTTATCCCTATGGACATCGATCTTAACAATCACGATTAAATGATTTCAGGACGGGATCCGGTAAAACCACCTTAGTAAATTCGTTCTTGAGATTGACCGAACCTAGCGAAGGTCGTATCGTGATTGACGGGATCGACATTTCCAAAATTAGTTTGGAGGACTTGAGGTCCAGATTGACGGTCATATCCCAAGGTTGTATATTTATATCGAACTCCACATTAAGTTCCAAAGAAATTACCTCTAACCGCCATTCTCTTATAAGATCCCATTCTTTTCGAGGGAACCGTTCGTTCAAATCTAGATATACGAGGAGAATACAGCGATCACGAGTTATGGGAGTCATTAAGAAGGGTGCACCTTGTTCACATCGAGGAGAGTTCACCGAATGGTCAACTGTTGATCATTGGTCCTATAACGAGTTTGGAAGATCCAATAAACGAAGGCGGTATCAATTTCTCTCGGGGTCAGAGACAACTTCTTTGTTTGGCCAGAACATTATTACGCCAATCGAAGGTGCGTGAAGTCTTATTTTTTATTATTGAAAACGATCATATTTTCAAGACAATCAACCATTCGACTCTTTTCTTTGTTTACTTAATGCGATGCAGATTATTATCATGGATGAAGGTATTTTTAGATTACAGAGGTGATAGGTTCGGTTTTTATTTTTTATTCTTTTAAACAAATTCTAATTGCACTTATTACACTTTTAATTTTGTAAAATTTAAAGCAACCGCAAGCATTGATGCAGAAACGGATAACAGGATACAAGAGATCATAGGAGATGAATTTCGGCACGCCACAGTTCTGTGCATTTCGCACCGCCTCAAAACCGTTATGGATTCGAACCGAATTCTCGTTCTCGGTATGTGTCACATTGATCGATGCTTGCAACGTCAGAAAGAACCAAAGTAACACAATAAATGATGAACTTACTAGATGAAGGCGTGATCGCCGAGTTTGACACACCTTACCGTTTAATCAACAATCCGGACAGCCTGTTTAGGTATTTATGTGAGCAGAGCGGCGAGCTGGAATCTTTGACTGAGATGGCCAGGCTAAACAATCCAGACGAGGATGATGCGGAAGCTGAAGAGGAGAACGATGCGGAAGTAGATGACGATTATCAAACAGAACGTGAATCCGTTCAATTGGAAAATGAATTGGAAAATGAAACCGAAACCGACGGTGATCAAGATCAACAAGAAGAAACAACTGAATCACCACCACATTATCAAGATTCGCCAGACGAATAGGAAAAAAAAAAAAAAAGAAAGAAAGAAAAGAAAAAGGAAATAATGCCTCGATATTAAATGATTTACGAGATGGTGATGGTCTATCGTTGAAGTTTTATAAGGGAAGATGTATTTTTAAATGTATTTTTACCTTGATAACTGACAATTAGGGGGGAGGGGGGAATAACTTAGGAATGTAGATATATAAACAATCCACACTTTAAATGGTAACCCATTTGTCGAGATGTAACTTAATAAATTTCATCAAACGGTCGCGTATCGTTGAAACAACTTTCAAAGACTTCCGACACAACTTTTTCCGCCAATCCAGGTGCCGAACAAAGCGCGTTATTTTGAAGTGATAGTATGGCTCGTCTCTTCACGCATGCCTTTTGGGTGAAACGTTGCAAAGATTATATTATTGAAAGAGAATTACGGTGAAATACAGTAGAAAGCAATTGTAAAACCTGATGTTGTTTCGTGAAACCAAAGAATCCCCGTCGGACTTCGCGTGTCCAACGACAATCACCGCTCAAAGACGCTGCCCTAATCTGTTTGACAAAGTCTCTATCGTTAACCTGCAATCCCTTCATTTATATGCACAACCAGAGCAAATATGCCTGCGAACCTCGCTACATGCATGATGATAACAATTATTCCAATCCACTTTAAATCGACAGTGGTCGTAGAAATGTATCATCTCATGCACCATTGTGTCCTCGGCATGGCCTTTACTAAAAAATCTATTCTGACACAGAAGTATACCGTGATCCGGAGAAAATCCTCCGCTACGCGTATTATCGCACGGTAAACATTTGAAATGTTTCTTTTCGATTTTACAGCCTGCCTCCTCCAAGGATTTTAACATGAATACCACCACAGGGCCTATTAAGAACGTTATATTAACTACAGGAATGAATCCCCTCCAGATGATTTTCAGACAAAAACCTACTTCTTTCCAATAATTTGTCTCTCCATTTTTCACACTTTCTGCATTGATAATTTTCAACCTCAGCTTCAGACTTATGTTTATACTCGACTTTCTCTTTTTCTGTCAAACCTATACCGGTGATGTACATTAAGCTCTTTCTCCATTTCTCAAAACTTTTCTTGTATGTTTCTTCGTTTTGTTCCAAATCATTTGATTGTTCCGTTGTGACCATTGAAACTATTGTGCATCAACGGGAAAGAAATAATACTAGATACATAAAATTTGTGCCATCGTGTAAAAATGCAATAAAATTATCGCCCAATCAAATGAGAGCAGACTAACAATCTTTCTTTTTTTAAACATGTCATCTCTCGATGAAACCCTTTATGATATTCTCGGGACTTCAGAAACTGCTTCGGTAGGAGAAATTAAACAGCATTTCCAGAAACTGTTGCTCCTTGTAAGTCAACTCAACTCTTGTGACTTTTCAGCAAAATCTTTGGTGCTCTAATCCATGAAAATCCATCCAAAGCATCACCCGGACAAATCTTTATTAAATTCCAGAGTTCCTAGTAAGATCGATGACAATGATAAAGTAAGCAAGATCCTCGAGGCCTGGAAAATCTTGAAAGATCCTGAATCAAAAAAGATTTATGATGACGAATTAAAAGGTACGCTTTGTAATAACTTTGTTCTTTCGGTATATCGAAATATAAAAATAAACGTTTATTATACAGCAAGGAAGCACAGCCAGGACGGTATATTTAATGCTGAAGTTGATTTAGGTGACATGAAACATCATGCAGGTATTTTCAAAGTTATGCCTTATTTAAGAATTTTTCTAAAAAAAAAAAATCTTTTGTTTAGAAATAAATTCATATTCGACATCTTGTCGTTGTGGTGGCTCGTACGTCATCACCGAGGATGACTTGGACCAAGGGGCGAGCATAACCGGATGCACAAATTGCTCACTGAGAATACGTGTGCTATATGATGTCATCATGGAATAAAAAGATATGGCGATTTATATGATTTATATAGACAGTCAATTATGCACAAACGGGAGGCAGAAGTTTAGAACAAGCCAAAAAAAATTCAATCTAAAAGATTAATTCTATCATGAAAAATCACTGAATTATATATCCATAGTGCTTGATAATTTTCTCCAATGCGCTTTTGGATGTCTGATTAAAACGGAGAAATAGAAAGGATATAATTCTTTGGACACATATTTGCCACCATAATAATCTGAATTTATTATTTTTAATTTATTGGGTAATAGCAAAATAATTTACGCGTGAACGCGACTTTATGCAGCTGGCTTATCTAGCTCGTCATACCTCTCTCTGATAGCCGAGTCAAAAGTGTATTAGTAAGCAATTAAATTAGATATTATGTAGATAGATAGTGCTATAGCAAAGTATAAAAAGAATGTTAAAGTCGCATACAGCACTTGATCGGATCTAAATGCCTCTTTTATTACGGGTTTTCATTATTATCTAGGGATCCATGCACAATCCGTGGATGATCAACATCATGCATGCAATATAAAATAAAAAAAAATTTTTTAAACTGCAACTGGTATTAGGCTTTATTGGATAATTAAATTTTATTAGCATAATGTAAATGAAAAAAATCTTACAAATCATACAAAGAAGGTAGAAAAGCATAATTGACATCTTGATTGATCTATTCAAAGCATATAATAAAGATAATAAGTTATGAGTTACAAAACAAATACTATAACAATAAAATATAGAAATAGGTGATTTTAGAATCAATAACCAATTTAAAATTATATATAGTCTTAGATAGTATTATAATAAGAATACTAGAAGTGGATTTAAAAAAGTTCTTTTCACTGATCTCATTTTTTCAAAAAAATTTTCTTTTTTGATAATTTTCTTGAAAAAAATCAAGCTATCAAATATTTTTAACATACATATAATAAGCTATTCAGAAATATCAAAAAAAGTGATATATACAGTAATACACTATTTTATTAATTTTCTTTTATTTCTTTTTTTTTAAAAATTTTTAGAAGAAAAAAAAAGAGATCTATATATGGATTTACTATCAGAAAAAGAAAATCAATATCAACTTTATACAGCTCACAGCCAGGTCAATACAGGTTAATACCTTTCTTAATACTATAAAAAATCCAAAAAGTAACTAAACTTATCTGATAAATCAAGTTGCTTTAGTTATTCAAAAATCCAAAAAAATATCAAAGCTTATTAAAAACAAGACAATCTTAATATACATATACATAAAACTTTTTCTGTTAATCCTCTAACTATACACAAAAAAGATATTCATAAGAAGTTTTATACTTCAAGACTAATAAAGTTTTATTACTTTCTTTAAATTAATTTGAGAATAAGATTCTTAAGAGTTATTTTACAATCATCACTACTTCTTTTTATATTTTATTACAAAAAACTTGTCTTTTAATAGTTAGAAAGATAACTTTTATCCTTCTTACTAATGGCAAAAAAGTTTTGAAAGGAAGTAAACTTGATTTCTTTATCTTCTTTTTACCTGCCATAAAAATATTACAGAGTCTAGTTTGTAATAAAAGACTTTTTAGAAGATAATTCTACTACTCTCTTGTTATAGTAAAGGCTTTAAGAATGTTCTTTTATGGTTTTCTCTAGGGGATTTTTTCTATCATAGTTTAATCCTGAATTTTGAGTAACATAAAGTTTCTAGTGCAGTGATTGAATAGTGAAAACATATCAGTAACTCAAGATGTAAACAGGTTTCTATTGGTCATCTCACGTATTGGAATATATTTCTTTAGTATTCATAAGAACCTTTGATTCACCATAAGTTGCAAGTCAATTGTACAAGTAAATTCAGAATATGAAATCTATAATATTATTGAATACATGGAAAGAATAAAAAAATCTGGATTAGGACTTATTGAACAATAAACAATAATTTTCCTCTACTCCTTCTCACCCTTTTCAATATACACAACCAGAGAAAAAAGATTACAAAGTATAGGATCCTTTAGGAAAGTTTTTGATTACCTGACACTAATATATTGGAAACACAACTTCTCGATTTATTAAGCAATTATCCTAGTCTCTTCAAAATACTTTCTTGACAGTATCACAATATAAAAAAATTTTTTATTAATACTAGTGGAATTAAGGTTCCACATAAGGAATCTCTAACATTAGAGGTGATTGATATCACAGATAAATTCTTGATATACTAGCCCCCCTTCTTATAGAATCTGAAATAGTAATAAATCACTCAGTGGATTATGTTTTGTTATATCTTTAGAAAATACCAGATATTATTATATAAATACTATAGTGAAAGTTTTTTTACTTAATGTTATTCCTTGTTTTATTTTAGTAAATAAAATATCTATACTAAACAGTTATGTAATTATCTTATCCTAGTTGGGTAAGAAATAAAAAAAAAAAATTTTTTTTTCAGCTTAACCTCCAGTTGGCTTTTATTAACTTTAAACTTAATATTATATGTATATTATCTACTTTAGAGCTAACTACAAATTAAAATAATACTAACATATATGTTGAAAACTATATACAAAGATTTCTTCTGGTTCAAATCTCCTATAAGAATCTCTGTAATCTATTGCCTTCCATATTGAAAATTAACTTTCCTGAGTCGAGTTAGTAACTAAGTTCCTTATAGTTGTTATCAAGAAAAAATAACTAAAAAAAAAAAAAATACTAAGGGCTATCAGATAATAACCTAAATTTTCAACTGTCCATTGAGACTTCTACCACGAAAATTGTCAACACTTACAAATTATTTGTCAGAGTACCTTGTCTTTAAATCTTTGAAAGGGAAAGAGAAGAGGTTTTATTTCATGACTAGGAGAGGAAATGGTTTTAGAGCTCCATTTGATACTCTACCTAAGGGACTACTTATTCAAAGATCAGGCAGGACCTGTGGCTAAAAGAATACCTTAAAATCTATAGAGGGGTTGTCGACCTAGTCTTAAAAATAATACAAACTTCAAGCATATACTACTTATTTAAAAAAGCACAACATTTTCAAAGTCAGACTAAGTCTTTAAGGGGTCTTTCAATTTGATAAAAGTTTTCAGTGAGTACTTTCACTACAAGTACAATTGATAGGTACCACTAGTGAACTTAGTAGGTCATACTTGAAGAGAAGTCATGTTGAATATCTTGATATAGTTCTTCAGTTTGTAGTCCTCCCACAAACCATAGATTAAGAGTAAAAAACCTGCCAGCCAGAAAAAAATTCTTATCCATCTTGTTTGTTTTTATTTAAAGAAGAAGAGATCTTTAACTATTTATGTGAGCTGTTAGAACCTGCTTGACTGCCAAGGAAAAGTGATTTCAATACTAAAAATAATTGATACATCTTATAATCTTTGCTGTGATTGGATAGACTCTTTCCTTGATTATCTACT